CAGCGAGACGTGCTCGGATGGCAGAGGTGTCGGCGGGGAGCTTGATAGACTTGGGTTTCTCTGAAGGAGGAATAGTGGATGAGGTGGACGTGGTAGTGCTGGCATGCTCGACGGTTGTCTCCACGGGAGTTGTCGTAGAATCGTTGGTGTCAAAGGTAGGAGATTGTGGCTCGGATTCGTTACTTGAGTTGGCGGTGGCCTCGTCCTCATTCTCCAGGCCCGAGATGTCCATAGGTAAAACCTCGCCGTCACCGCAGGCTGTTGTCTCTTCCTCCTCCTCAACTACTTTTTGCTTCTTCGCGGCTTGCTTCTGAGCCTTTGGTGTCAGAGTTGGTACATTCTGTTTCTCGGTTGCAGGAGTCTCTGACTTGTTGACCTTCTTCTCAGCCTTCTTCTCAGCCTTCTTCTCAGCCTTCTTCTCAGCCTTCTGCCTTCTTCTCCCTTCTTCTCCTTCTTCATTTCCTTCTTGGCCGCCCTCTTCTCTTCCCTTTTCGACGTCCTAGAAGAAGACGTCTCAGTTGTGTCCCTAGCCTCTACCTCTGTCTCGTCGTTGAGCTTCTGCTTCTTGTTGGTCTCTGAAATGTCCTGAGCTTCTGCCTCTGTCTCATCGTTGCGCTTCTGCTTCTTTTTTGTATCCGCTGTCTTGACCTTGAGCCCCTCGCCAGGCTTCTCGGTCTCTACGCCAGGGACAGGCTCATTGTCCTCCCAATCATCGTCGTTATCAGTGTCGTCATGCTTCTTCATCTCACGCAGCTTTCGCTTGTTCTTGGCACGTTCATCCAAGACTTCCTTGGCATTTCGATTCCGCTCGCTGTCGGGATCCAGCTTTCCGCGTCGCGCATCGGCAGCCTGTTGTTTTGTCTGCTTCTTCTTGCTCCATTGATCCTGCATTTGTATTAGCCTCACTCTGGTTGATTGCGATGCATATGATATATTATGAGGCGTTTGATGTGTTTGCTTCAGGCGGGGACGTGGTTGGCCTCTACTTGCCAAGGCATTGGATTCACATACACTGTTGTCTTGCTCATAGTACATCTTGGCTGGGATGAGGCCAAGGATACCCTCAAAGGCTCCGCGTTGGCCGCACAGGTAATCCTAAAGCGCAAAAAGTCAGCTTCAGGGTTCCCTATGGCCATGATTCAAAGAGGGCTGGAGGGCATTTGGAACAACGGACCTGCAGCTCAGACTCTGTCATATTGACTGGTGATTGAAAATGTTGGTTACCAGCGATGCCGTGGTATCTCCAGTATTAGAGGAATTCAGTTATGGAGAGTCGTGATGATGGAATACCCTCGATAACAAAAAAGAGGTTGGAAAAGAAAGCTCAGATGGCAATGTGCTGCCTCAGTTTTTCGAGGAGTGATCGTTGTAATTTTTTTTCCTGAGCCCGCTAAAGAATGACCGGCTTTGTGTGGGGAAGGCCCATTCAAGACAGTCGATCCACCCCCTGCAGTTAGCGCATTCCATTCAGGCCGAGGTACGTACCGACACCATATTCAGGGTCCTCTGAGCCTCATCAAGCATTATATGAATCGATCGCAACATATCATGACCAAGGAGATTCTAAACTTGGAAGTCATTCATAAGGGGTGCTTACGGTCCGCCACTTCAGAGCTTACGAGTAATCCAGGCGGCATACATTAGTGCTTAGGTCATGCTGAAAACCCAGAGACCAGTGGCTTTTGGTAGATGGCTCGAGGCCAGGACACTGACGTCGTGGTCGTGAGTTCAAGAGGATCGCCAATGGCTTCAACCAAATTATGTGTCACTAAAATACAGTCACCACTTGAGTACTCGGCTCCCTTTTTAGTCATGGGTGCCTGAGCTACCCGCTACGCCGGGATTTGAAACTTTGGGCCAAGCCTGGCCACAAGTAACCTAAGTGCCATATCTTGACTTATCATCGAAGTCTGTGTCGTCTTAACTTCACACTAATATCCAAGATTCTCATACTGTGACGAGATTCACAGATTGCAGCTAGTAGTTCGTTTTGAAGACCTCATGTGGGAGACTTGGAACATGGACTAGAAGAGCATGTTTAGGCTGGTATCACTTTACGCCTTTCTGTTCAATATTTGAACAAGTTGAGTCTAGATAGTACCTAAGCAATAACCAAATCAAATGCTTTCATGAGAATTTGTATGACATGTTCTCAGTGGCCTTTATTTCTTCTTGCCCTTCTTTCCACCAGCAGCTTCTCGCCGACGGGCCTCTCTAGCCTCGATCTCGGCCTTCTTGACCTTTTCTTGCTCCTCTCTTTCTTCACGCTCAGCCTGACATTAAGTTAGTAAGGTCACCCTGCAGACAGAATACCAGGTACGTGGGTAACTCACTTGTCTCCGCGCGGCGTCAAGAGCACGTCGCTCGCGGATCTCCTTGAGACGCTCCAGATCGGCCCGAGACTCGTCCGTCTTGCCCTGGGCTGTCAAGCGGATGTGTCTCTCCTTAGCAGCTGCAGCCTCGAGAGCTTCACGCTCGCGTCGGCTTGGTGCTGCTTGCAAGTTCTCGACACCATCTGTAATCTCGTCGACACCAGAGGACGCCGCTTGCTTGCGGGCCTTTTTGGAGTGATTGGGGTTTGCAGGCATATCGTCATCCTCTTCGCTTTCGCTCTCTTCCTCGTCGCTTGATGGCAGATCACCGACTTCGACAGTCTTGGCCTTCTGTCTGGCTATGGCAGCCTCCTTTCGAGCTTTCTTCTCGGCCTTTCGAGCCTCGCGTGACTGCTCTTGGGTTTGTTCTTGAGAAGGGCCAGCACCATCATCTTCCTCGCTGTCCTCTTCCTCTTCAGAGGATTCCTCCTCGGAAGACTCCTCTTCATCGCTGTCTTCGTCCTTCTTGTCTGCGTCGACAGCCCATATGCTAACCTCGTTTCCATCGGCATCGAGGGGTCGGATATCGCGAGAAAACTTCTTGCCACCTGGGAATTTGTCAGTCCGGCTTTGGGCTCAGCTTCGTGGTCAACATACCTCCACGTGTGGGCTTTCGAAACTTCCCTCCGCGGCCACGCGAGCCTCCTCCGGGGGGACCACCGGGAGCCATGATGGGTAAGCTGCGATAAAATAGGTATGAAGGAGGTAAGCTTTTGGGGTGGGTAGAAGTCTATCTCAAGACTTCTGTATTGTGACTAGGTTATTCAGATCTATTAGGTCAGGATATTCAGTGTTGATGAGTATCTCGCCGTCTCTCAAATGAACGTTTGTTTGCTGGTCAAACTTGTTCAGCAGGGCGGGGTAGCGGGGTAGCTTATGACGGCGGCAGCGCTGATAAATGAACAAGCACCTATGAGGTGGAGTGATGGACTGTTGATCAGGCACTTTTGAGTGACGTTGCTTCTCTTATATATGATTGTAAGCCGAATTTGAAATCACTGCAGGAGAAATATGAGTCAAAATGAAAACCACTTTTTCACTCAGAAGTTTATTAAAGTGAATGGATACGAGTGCTAGGCATGAATATCGAAGCTAGTAAGTGACTTTTCACGTTGCACAGTAGTCTGATTAACTCAAGCAGAACGCAGAAAAGCAAGGCCTGGTATGACTCAGTCCTGAGTTTTCCAATGTACAATACTTCCAAGCTTAAAATAAAACAACGATACCCTTCTCGAGCCCCCAGTGATTCACTACATCAAGTTCAAGTGCAGCTTACACTGTGATTCAGTGAATTTTGTTAACAGTTGTTGGAGGCTTTCAGGGACGAGATAGGCGGCTGGGCGCTGAAAACACTGAACGAATAAGAGAACCCCTGTTTGTCGTGTTTTGATCAGCTCACTGAGGGGCGTGTTTAATGCCGCCAACAAAGTGTACTTGCAACGGGCATGCACGCGACACAAAGCTCTATTTGTTTTGAGATCTTGACTCATCCTTTGATCTCAGGCAGAAACCACCATCCAAGGTTTTGGCTTCTGTTCCATTGACTTGGAATTTATTCACCAAACTTTAATAATGACCCCTACTTTTTGGGTACCTTATCCAATTCCTAATAAGTCCCAGTCCTCAGGCACTGGGCTTGCATGAGAATGAGATGGATGGACCCCTACCTACCTACCTACCTACCTACCTACCCACCTACAGTGGCTCTCGGCACATCAATCTTCCACTCCCGCTTTTAGTGCCCCACTCAGGTAAACAAAACCACATCGAGTGAGCCGAGATTTTACCTCTTTTTTTCCTTTCTTCTTCAACCTACTAGAAAAAACTGAATCCTTCAAATTCACTCTGGCTTTCATTACACCATGGAGGTACTTGGAGGGGAAACTGGAGGAAAGATGAATTACCGCTGACACTTACCCTCTGTTCTGCTTGTAGCTCTTGCTGCGTTGGGAGAGAGAAATTTTGACGCGGTACATACCTTTCTTCCATGTCTTTTTAAGATGTGAAATCATGATGGAGGTGAGTCTGGATGTGCGAGAGCATGGATGCTTCCTCACTCGTCTGTCATACTCTGGCTTCATACCTATGCTTCCGCCATGATGTCCTCATAAGTGACCATATAATATATCCTCAGTGAAGGGTAAATGCTGCAGTAGTATCTCCTAGAATCTGCAAACCTTTCAAACCTCTGTCGAGTTATAATCCTAAAACTCTCTTCCCGCACTCGGTCTTCGGTTTTCAGAGCTCCTGAGCGATACTGAGGTTGACGTCTGGGTTCGAGGTCACTCATGCATTTTGCCCCGAGAATCTCGATATGACATGCTGAGATCTCTATAGGGTAGATCATTCATCACACCCATTATTCACGTCCCTTCCATGGAGCATTAATATGTTAGTGATTAGCTTTTGATACTGGTTTTATTTGATAGTGAATATCTGACACTGAATATAACCCCGTTCTTTAAAATTGCGATGCCACTGCCGCAAACCCATCTCGGCACATGCGTTAGAATAACCACCAGACAGAGGTTTCTCACACAAACCACTCCTCCAAACCTTGCCACCATTGGGCCACCAAGCAGTCTTTACATGTTTCGTATTCTACAACACTTACACGACATATGCTCCTTAGCGTTTCTTGCCAAAGAACTTGTTTCTTTTCTCAATAAGATCCGACAAAGCCAGTATAAACCGTTGATCCTGCGCTTGCTTCTGAGCAGTTGATTTGTTCATGATATATGCTCGGCGTGATCTTCGCCAGTCACTCAGCTCTTTTCTATACCGAGAGCTCCCAACAATATCCGTCGGTCTGAATATGTGGTTTGTGTCCCAAATGAGTGCCTTGATCTCCCTGTCATGTTGTTCACTTCGCTCACGGAGCCTACCAGCATGGACTGGATGCTTCCAGTCGAGTTGGTGCACATGATACGACGGCAGGTCCGAGCCAAGCTCGGGAGGCGTTTCTTTGTTGAGTTTCTGTGTCGATGACACGATCGTAGAGGTTCTGGGTGGCTCAGTTGGGCTATTGCCTTCCTGAAAGCGACGAGAAGGAGGCGCGAGGATGTCAGAGTCGTCGTCGCTTCCAGAACTAGAACTAGAAGAGCCTGAGGATAAGCAGTCGTGATCGGGAGATGTAACTGGGGTTCCCGTCTTGTCGATATATGGGTCCCTTTCAGATAGATCATGCTGTGAGCTACTGCTGAGTTCTGGGCTCATCGACAACGTGCTGGTACTCCTGGACTCGGACTCGGGCAGCGGCGAAAGAAGGCGCTCGACAGGGAATGTTGTCAAATAGGCCGAAGGAACGGAGAACTCCTCCTCAGGATCATCATCGGGATCATCATCGTCACTGATGAAACCCTCATCACTCTCTAGAACAGAGTCCGTCAGGTCGCTGTTGAAGAAGGTTAGTGTAGTGAGAGGGTCAGGGAAGGCGAAGTATGATACTGAGCCATCATGGCTGGTGATGTTAGAGTCCGGCATCTCTGCTCTCTACAGAAATAGTACTCCTGAAATTCGACCCTTACAAGAAAGGTCCGCTTCGAGACGACGAGCAAGGGAATATATAAGTTGCGAGACCATGAAAGACTTACGGGAGACAGCAAAAAAGTAGGACTTAGATTTGCAAGTTGAAGTATCTTTTTGTTAAACTTTCATATTGAAGATGTTCAGAAAGTGTCACCCCAAAGCTGTCGCTTTGTCACGGTAGAACATGATTCGCTGCACTTTGACAGAACAAAAGAAGTTTCTTCGCCGGCGAGTGTTCCAGGCTATCAATGAATCACGTCCATCCAGAACATTATCAACGTTTGTGCATTTAAGGGGTAGAAAAGTAAGAGGGAAGGATTGCTGTAACTGAATGAGCGCATATTAGTGGCAACCAAATATGAACATGAGGAGGCAAGGAAACTTAAAGACATTTATCCTAAGAGATAACAAGACTTGAGGCAAATTTAGGCAAATTTAGACAAGACTAAGTTAACCTTTTGATCAATGATTTTTAATATCTAAGCTTTGGGTGAGAAGCTTTCTCTGAGGATGAATACCTCCCTTGAAACGTAATCTCAGGTTTCAAGAAGAGAGATCAAAGTCTATGTCAACATACTATAATACTAATTTGAAAGAGACTTGTACGTCATGGATTCTTTGGACGCCCTAGACCCATATCCTCCAAAACATCAACAACCCGTTTTCTCTTGGCCTTCCTTATTGCTAGCATTGGCGCGGACCTCTCTGAACACACCAAGTTGACTCCCTTCGGTACTGTAGCAGGCTTCTTCCCGTTGAGCGGAATGACAGATTTCCGTGTAAATGTGAATTGTCGTGTTGCGAATAGTCCCCTGCTAATATATGACGGTCTCGTATCAATACCACCGCGTTGAGAAGTGTGACCCAAGTGAAGGCATGCAATCGGCCGTGAGGGTAGAATGAAGGGACCTGCTGCAGCCTTGTAGGGAAGGGCGCCACGGGCTTCTAAATCTTGATCAGAACAAAGTTGACCGAGAAAGGAGTAAAGCCAGAATGCCCAAGCCTCAAATGCAACTCCGTGGCATGTGCGAGCTTCTCGAGATGCAGCATCAATATCCCACCAAGGCGCATTCTCCTTTGCAGTATCGCACAGGTAGTTGAGAAGAAGTGGTGCCTGACGATCCTGAACAAATTTAACAGCACATCGCGAGTCGCTGCACAACGACACCAAGTCATTATCGATACTTGCAGCGAGGTCACGCATATTTCTGTCTCGGGTTTCTTCCAGCGGCGCAAAGAGCATGAGATATCGCAGCAGTGAGTCGTCCAACCTATGTGGCGGTGCATCTGCCTGCTCCCACCCATGTTCTTGCGCTGCCATCTTACTGGCGTCCCACGCGTCCCTTGCACCAATTACGTCGTACAGGGCAAGAGAAGGGAAGTTTGACACCCATGGTAGAGATGCCTTGGATGTCGTCTCATCTCCCCATATTCGCAATACTCGAAGTAAGGGAAATGGATCAGGTTTCTCAGACCATCCCCGGACAAGACGGTCCGAGATATTTGGGAACGCAGTCCGCTCTGTTGGTTGAATTATCTCGAGGACACCGAGATTAGGCATGTCTGCCAGACCTAGAAGATCATGGGTATTGAAGGTGCAACCACCGGCGATGACTATGTGTGTTATGAAGTCTGAGGGCGGTGCTGTCAGAGGTTGAGTGTAGCGGGTGAGACTGTTGCCGGGATGGCATATGTGCTGTCGAAAGCGGTACAGGCCAAGATTCTTCTCATCTCCTTCATCCATTAGGAGTTTGGAGAGGTACCTCCAAGCATGGAGAGACACTCCTCTACTTCAGTATCAGTATCAGTCGCAGATCTCTAGATGTTCCGCGCCATCCGTAGGCTGTCAAGCTGTATCTCCGGTGTACTGACCTTGCCTCGAGATACCTCCAAATGCGCCATAGTATGGCTTTTGGCAATGACTCAAGATGGGTTATAGAGCGAATCTTGCCAAAATTATCGCCAACAACACTGATGGCTATGTCTACCAAAGATCGAGGTCCCTTTGTGCCTCGAGGCTTGAAGGAAGGGTATGGACGACGCCGGCTCCAGTCTGCATTACTCTCAGCCGTGAGAGCCTCCCGGGTCAGGACATACTCCGTAAACGCTGGACCAGAATCTGGGTCGAACATGGCTGATTTGACTGAAATTGAGAAAGTGGCGAGGTTCAGTGAGACTGCGCAGATCGAAGGGAAGGCAGGAAAACTTGGGATATCTTGTCTACCTAAGTGATAAAGAAACTCAGGCAAGTTTACGTATATCTTAGTAAGCCCTTAGATCAGCTTATTTTGGCACCCTGACTTGATGTTAGAGGTTTTCTTTCTCCCCGAGGTGCGTTTCACTACCTCTGTAACACCGACAAGAACTTACTAATGAGACGGCTTTGTGCATGATAATGAACCAAAGAAAAATAATCAAGTATAACGTGTAGTCTCTCTTTGGATTATTTTAATTTTTTTTTATATTTGTCGCTTAAAATCTTTTTAATGTTCTCCCTCGCGGAAACACCGTCTGAACCAAGCCTATTGTTTTTCCATTCCATGCATCAACGGGAACAAGCGAAGCGGCTTACAACGGCCTCCCTCTGATGCGATGGCTTCAAGCCATGAATGAGACCCTCTTTCTTCCCCAACCGCAAGCTTGTCGTCTCAAAGCCGGGTGTAATCCTTCGTCCTTCGTCCCTCATCCTTCAAAATACTTTTATGACCGTGCGCTATGGTATCCAATCGTAATATCATTCCTTCTCTTTTATTTGCGTCATCTATAGCATGGGCTTGAGGTCCTCAGCGACGTGGAAGGGAGCCTCTGTCTTGCTCTTGACCTCGTCAACTGTGACACCGTCTGCGATCTCAATAAGGGTAAGGCCGTTGGCGAAGTCAACATCGAACACACCCTGGGATGAGAGTTAGTATATCATTCATCAACTGACGACATGAACAAGATTTGGGAAAACTCACCAGCTCCGTAATAATCCTCGACACACAAGCACGTCCAGTCAGAGGGAATGCACACTGCTTGACAATCTTGGGGTTGCCCTTCTTATCTGTGTGCTCCATCGTCACAACAACCTTGGTCTCGCTGGGGTTGCTGACAAGATCCATAGCACCACCGAAGCCCTTGACCTTTCCGGGAAGCATCCAGTTGGCAAGATCACCAGTGGCGCTAACCTGCATAGCTCCAAGGATAGTGAGGTTGATACGGCCGCTGCGAATCATACCAAAGCTCTCCTCGCTACCGAAGACAGCAGCACCGGGCTTGAGAGTAACGGTCTCCTTGCCAGCGTTGATCAAGTCAGCATCCTCCTGGCCCTTTTGAGGATAGGGACCTAGGCCAAGGATACCGTTCTCAGACTGGAGCTGAACCTCGACCTCAGGACCGACAAAGCCAGGGGCAAGCATAGGCATACCGATGCCCAGGTTAGCGTACATGCCGTTCTTGAACTCCTTAGCAGCACGACGAACGATGCGCTCACGCTTGGCAGCTGTGTCACCAGAGCCGAGGGCCTTGGTAGCCTCGGGGTCGTTAGGGTCCTTAGCCCAGGTGTACTTCTCGATCGACTTCTCCTCGGTGCTCTGAATGACGCGCTTGACGTAGATACCGGGCAGGTGGACAGCCTCAGGAGGAATCTCACCGGGCTCAACGATGTGCTCAGCTTCGACAATGGTCATCTTGGCGTTGCGGCCCATGGCGCCGTTGAAGTTGTGGGCAGCGAGACGGAATTGGCAGTTACCAAGCTTGTCAGCCTTGTAGGCCTTAACGAAGGCATAGTCACCGTCAATGCTCTCTTCAAGAAGATAAGACTTCCCCTTGAAGACCTTGACGTCCTTGGGGTAAGAGTAGACGTCAGGAGAACCATCAGCCTTGTTGCGAAGAGGAAGATCGCCAGTCTGAACAACTGTGCCAAAGGCAGCAGGAGTGTAAAAGGCGGGCACACCCTTGCCACCAGCGGCGCATCGCTCAGCGAGAGTTCCCTGAGGGGTCAGCTCAAGCTCGACCTCACCAGTGAGGTACATCTTTTCAAAGGTCTTGTTCTCGCCAATGTAGCTAGCAATCATCTTGCGGATTTGCTTAGTCTTGAGAAGTCTACCGAGACCAAAGTTGTCGGTACCAGCATTGTTGGAGACGGCTGTAAGACCCTTGATTTCGGGCTTCTCGAGAACCTCGTTAATAAGAGAGTCAGGAACACCGCAGAGACCGAAACCACCACAGAGGAGGGTTGTGTTGGGCTTCATGTCCTTGAGAGCTTCCTTGGCAGAAGGGAAGACCTTGTTGATCTCGGCGCGGCGAGCGGTTGCCGAGAAGGATCGTGCGAGGACGGCATTAGGCTTGAGAATTGTTAGTATACACCGGAGATGCGCACTGAGCTGCTCAAGAGACGTACATTGGTGGGATTGCGAGCAAAGGCTCGGAGGGTCCGTAATCGGAAAGCCGAGGAAGACATGATGTGTATGTTTGGAGAGATGGGTGAGAAGGTCGGGAATAGCTTCAGTATCGGCAACCCTGCTGTCGGTTAGGAGAGTAGCTAGCTATAGAATAAGCTTGTTTGTACGGTCAATTGAGCTTCATGCGCCAGGGCTCTTCTTTCCAGATAGAACAGAGAGTAATAAGAATGCTGAGGAGAGATGTTATGAAGGAGAACTTGAGCCGACAACGACGATAGAAGTCGACGGGCCGTTGGCGGGGGATATCCGTTTATTAAGGCCGGCTCTGGCCGTAAATCGACCTCCGCCTGAGCTCAAATACAATTCCGCGACCAAAGTTCGGAAGCGATAATCGGCATTCGGTATGATACCAAAACAGCATTTACAGGAACAATTAGGCGGGTCACCCTCATAAGCTCTCCTCTAACGGCTGCCGGGTGGTCCCCGTACAGGAGAACCTTGACCTTTGAAGTTTGACCGCAAGCGAAGTGGAGGATCTCCCCGATCTCTACCTGTGGAGACCGAGGATAAAGACATCATGAGTGGCAGGACAGAGAGAACAGCGGGGGCCCAAGTCCGGGGCAGGGCAGTCTGGCGCTGTAATTTAGTGGGCGGGTAATGGGTTTTCCGAACCTACCGGCTATTCGTTTCGGGAGTTGACTTGTCATGACGGAACAGGGCTTCTCATGACAGCCAAACAGGTCGGGTTCTCATCTCGACGGACTAGCTTTGTTGGGAAAACTTGCTGATGTTTGGAGAGAAACATCTCGGGGTTCAGTCACCGTTTTATTCATTGGTGATTATGTGTATTAGTAGTGATTGTTGTGACTACAGAGCGTATCCTAGATTTCCGACTCGGTTGCTTTCCGATCCGAGGTCGGCTATGGACTCCAATTCGCTTCCAACTTACCTAGTTACCTACTAACTAATAATCAAGGTGAGCTAGAAGCATGGGGGGTTTATCAAGACTCCCTCCCTTCTTCTGTTCTGGGCTCCTCTGCAACACAACGCCAAGTGTCCATGATATTTTGGACGCAAACGCCAAACTCCAACAAATGCCATCGTTAGCTCTATAAGCACATCGTGGCAATTAGTTCCCTAAAGCACTGGATGCTCGCATCGCATAAGCGGAAGAATGAATATGAACCACCGGGTATTCCCTTATCCTCCACAATAACCATTTCCCATTCAACTCGATAATAATCCACATTGCATAGCAGTAGTAGCATTCTCCGGGTGAAGAGATACCAGTCCGATCAAGTTCCCCTCAGGGTCAACGAACTCTCCAATATCCATGATGCACTGTCGAACGCCGTATCGCAACTGCTTGATCTCGCCGTAGTTGTTTTCGATCAACGTCTCGGCAATACTAAGATCAGCCACTCGGATGTGGCATGCTGGTGTCACACCGCGCGCCATGGCTATCTGTCGCTTGTACTCGAGCTGAGCACGGCTGTCTCCCGTGACTCTCACTTGCATCAAGGCTCCTGTGATGCGAGATCCTCCGCTCTGGCTTGAGTTGAAGAAATTCATGGGCTGTACGTCAAAGTGTGAAGATCCCCACTGCCTCATATATGGGTCATCAGACTGCTGGGCGTTCACGTCTCCAAAGAACTTCCAGCCGAAGCAACGCGAGTAAAAGTTTACCGCTCTGTCTAAATCGAAGCAGTACAGGAGGAGAAAGTCGGCAGTTCCTCCCATGCAAGACATATCTGGTCTCTCGCTTCCACATGTTTCGGTCTGAGGCAGCGAAGAAGGCAGCAAGTCGTTGTCGTTTGCGATTCTTGGAGAAGCAGAGGCACCGAGGGACAAGTTCTTGGTGGCATTCATGGGCAGCGAGAACGTTGAAGCAAAAGCTGGCGGCGTGAGCATCTCCGCTGTGGGTGTGTTGAGAGCATCATAGCCTAGTGAGGGTACTGGCGATGGCGTTCTTCGATCTGTGTCAAGGTCCATGGCTGATGAGGAAAGCGTGAGAGATGGTCTTGGTTTTGTGTATGACTCCATTTTGACAAGTGGATGTATTTTTGAATTGCACTGGCTCGCTGATCTTCTCCAACAGAAGCGTCAAGTGATTCAGGCAAGGCAAGGTTCAATATTATGATGAAAAGCGTGACGTGCCGCGAGGCAAAACAGTCTAACAAAAGGAGAAATACCCGTCGTGACTTAGAGACCAGGCCAGTGAACAAGAAACCACAGTTATCTAAGCTGTTCAACAATCGGATATGTGGTTTGCATGAGCAAGCCATAAACTGATTGACAGGGTTACCTTGTTCTTATAGCCACCTGTTGATGAACAAGAGGCAATTTCCGAGAACTCCAACGCAAACTCTCCTTACATGCTGCGTGCCTTGAACTGCATAAAACACCACAAAAGCAATGATTCGAGACTGGAGGCACGGAACTTGGCGTGGGTGCCATCTGGGGCTTGCCAGGCCAACTCAGGCTAAGTGGTATGGAGGTTAAGGCAAGGAGAAGGCAAGACACTCAAACAGAACAAAACAAACACACGACAGTGTTACGTCAAAGACCAATCGTTGTAGGCCGGGAAGGCTAAAGACGTCAAGGGCGGAAGAAACCTGCAGCGACTAGGTCGCTTTGGCAAGTAGGGGTTCTCGTTCTGGAAAGCTAATGCATAGACGAGCAGAGCTACTGTTGGCGCTGCATTGTTGGTCTGTTCGATCTGGCTGGTGTCAATCACCATAAACATAAACAAGCGTGTTGTCTCGAGCTGAGCTGAAGCTGTGGTTGATTTTCAGGGCCTTGACTTCATTTGGTCAGTGTAGCGTTTATACTGGAATGGTAAACAACCCGAAATCCCACACCTTGGCGGGTCATGTCATCAAACTGTTGTCTCAGAAGAGTGCGTTTCTTAATTTACACACATAGTTGATAGTGGTTAACCAGCATGAATCCTCGCATGTCTCACTTTCGAACTGATGGCTTGACCATCACCGATCGTGAACGTGCAAGATGGGGGGGACACCAAAGACAAGGGCGAGAAGGTTTGGCTGGTATCAGGTATCGGAGTGGATTGGCCTGAGCGTTCTGCAAGGCGTGGTCTATTCGGCGGGTATAATTAAGCAAGGAGTTGTTTGGAGTGTGATCGCCTGAACGGTTGGAAATGTGCTTTACAGTAGTAGCTGCATAAGTTATGTGCAGGGAAGATATGGCGTGAGTTTCTCAACTCAAAAGGAGAATACATACGCGACGATCTAACCGAAGGAAAGGAGAGTAACGTTTGTGACAAGGGAACAGTCCATGATGCTGCTCGGATCCGAAAGTCCAGGATCCGGCTGAGAATGGTCGAGTTACCTTAGAGGGGAGTACGTACCTTTCCCGATAAGCTTCTTATCGCCCCGCAGATCCTGGCTTCAGAAAAAAAAATTACAGCATGAGCGCGGATCAAAGTCAATAGTGGCAGCTCCAACACCAAGCAACCTCAACTTGTCGATAATCGCCTTCCACCATCTGGCGCAGAATTAAATCGCCATGGAGTCCAGTTCAAAGCGTCGGAAGTTAGACCACTCTGGATCTGGTCTGAGACACGATGCTCTCATTGATTTTGAGGCTCGCAGCTCTGCCAGAGTCTCAACTGCTAGCACTTTTGTCCTCCAAACGGATGAGCTACTTAAGGAGGCAAAACTTGACTATGGGAAGGCATTGAAGGATGTGGATGCGAACCTCCATCGTTTAAAGGAAGCTATTGACACTGCGAATCCCCACGGACCCGAGCCTGTTCGTACTATACGCAAAGTCACCCATCTTCAAGACTAACAGATTTTCTAGATCACCGAAGTCACGAGCCGCTTCGAGAAGAAGCATCGCATCGTCATCCCTTACCCCGATCCTAAGCCTGCCAAAGATGCTCCTTACAAGCTTTCTTTTGAGAAACCAGCTTCATACAACGTCGTTGGTAGCTATGTCGCCAAGACCATGGTCAAGTCCCAGGCGCAATTTGGCATTGATATGGTAGTTCAGATGCCCAAGACGTTGTTCCAAGAAAAGGATTTTACAAGTATGCGATACTTTTACCGCCGAGCATACTACATCGCCTACATTGCCGCCAGCGTCAAGAAAGAGTTGGGAGACTCGATGGATATCGGCTTTGAATACCTGAACGAGAACCCGCTTCTGCCTGTACTTGCACTTCGACCCAAGTCCGAGGAGGAGGAGACCGATGCCAAGGAGATCAATGGGAAGGTTTCCAAGAAGAAGGCGAAGGCTGCGAAATCCCTGTATACTATTAGACTCATCCCTTGCGCTCATGATGGCCTTTTCCCCAAGTCAAAGCTACTTCCCAGCTCCAACAGCAACCGAAGTGGAGAGTCCGACGACAAAAAGACCCAGACCGGAACTCCTTTCTATAACTCTACATTGAAAGCTGAGGAGACGTTCATCTCTTACCTGCGTGTTCTTACGCACGCCAAAAACGAGTGCCCCGCCCTGACTGATGCCTGTGTATTGGGGAGAATCTGGCTGCAGCAGAGGGGTTTCGGGAGTTCCGTCTCGCAAGGCGGATTTGGTCATTTCGAGTGGTCTGTCATGATTGCTCTCTTGCTTCAAATGGGTGGACGGAATGGACAGGCAGCGCTTTCAAACTCTTTGAGCAGCACTGAACTTTTCAAGGCTGCTGTTCAGTTCCTTTCGGCCACTGATTTCAACAAGAAGCCTTTCGTTTTTGGATCCTCGAAGATAAATGCCGACTCTGTCCGAGAAGCTGGTCCTGTCATGTATGACCCAATTCGAGAACTCAATGTGCTGTCAAAGATGAGTCCCTGGTCTGCGAGTCTACTTCAAACGCATGCCAAGTCTACCACCGACCTCCTCGCTGATGAAGCTGCCGACAAGTTCGACCCGACATTTATTGTCAAATCTGATGCCCCTCTCCAGACATTCGATGCTATCTTTGAGATTAAGAGCAAGGATATTCCCAAGTCCAGTAGCTCTGTTGACTTTAGAGGACCTGCCTGGGACTTTAGCCTAGAAGCACACAAGGTACTCACAAAGGCATATGGTACTCGTGCTCATCTTGTGCATTTCCAATTGCCTTCCAGAGCTGGGTGGTCATTGGGCTCCGCGCCAACTTCAAGTTCTGGTAAGCTTCAATTTGGTGTCATGTTCGAATTCCCCCAGATGTCCAGACAGATGGAGCATGGTCCCGCGGCAGAAGAACAAAAAGAAGCTGCCAAGTTCCGACAATTCTGGGGCGACAAGGCCGAGCTGCGTCGTTTCAAGGATGGCAGTATCCTTGAGTGCGTTGAGTGGTCAAGCAAAGTTCCATTCCAGATCTGCGAGGAAATCACAGCGTACACCTTGAAACGACACTTGAAGGTTGCCAGCGAAGATATTATTGCTTTTGGTGCTAGTTTTTCCAACATTGTCACATTCTCTCATATGGATAAGGAGGCTTTTGATGCTGCCCGAAGAGCGTTCCAGACTCTCGAATACGATATTCGAAATCTTGAAGAATTGCCACTGCAGATTAGACAGCTTTCGCCGGTTTCGCCAGCCGCTAGATATGCTTCAGTTGATGCTCCGAGCCCTGGCTTCCACACAGGTACTATTGAGCCCATAGATGTGAACCTCTATTTCGAGGCATCGAATCGATGGCCTGAGAATCTAGTGGCCATTCAAGAGACCAAGATCGAGTTTTTACTGGACTTTGACAGGCGTCTCACGGCCGCGAAAGAAAACATTACAACCTACCTTGGCCGGGATAACAAGGAGATTGGTATCGAGAATTTGGCGTATCTCGACATTATCTACGAATCTGGCGCGGCATTTAGGTTGAGAATCCATGCAGACTTGGAAGATACCCTCCTTGAACGCCAAATCAAAAACAAAACGCTTGATGCTCACATTCGAGAACAGTCGGAAGCAGTCCTTGCTAGGACCAATTGGTTCTTTGCTACCCTACCAATTCATACACAGACTATCTCAACCTTTTGCACACGCCTTCATCCTCTATCACAGACTATCCGCTTGGTAAAGCACTGGTTCAATTCTCACAAGCTTTCAAGTCACATCAGCGAGGAGCTTATTGAGCTCTTCGTTCTGCACGTGTTCTTACAGCCATACCCATGGAGGGCCCCCACGAGTGCCTCAACAGGTTTCTTACGCACTCTGACATTCCTGTCGCGCTGGGATTGGCGTGACGAGCCTCTGATTGTCGACTCTGCAGAGGAGCTGACTGATGACGATCGCCATAACATTCGCAAAGAGCTAGAGTCTCGGCGCAAAAAGGACCCCAACATGAACCACACAGTCATGTTTGTTGCTACCTCCAATGACACTTCAGGCCTCGCTTATACCCGCAATGGACCTTCTAAGCTCATCGCTTCACGTATGACCCGACTGGCCAAGGCTGCATGTAAGCTTGTGAAGGACAGCGGATACCGTATTGATGCCACTGAGCTTTTCGAAACTTCTCTTGAAGACTACGATGTCCTTTTCCATCTTTCTCGAAAAGCTATTCGCTCAATACTTCGGGAGGCTGCTTCTGACCCCTCAGCCCGCCGTCATTCCCAGTTCAAGAACCTCGATGATCGCACGGGTCGCGCACCGCTTCCTATCCGTGCTCACCCTGTTGACGTACTAATGGAGGAGCTACAGCGTGTATACGACGACTCACTTGTATTCTTCCGGGGAACCAACAACAGCGACGAGGAGGATGCTGTGATAGGGGCGATCTGGAACCCGAAGCTTCAGCAGCAGAAGTTCCGAGCTGGTCTACCTTATAATTTCCACAAGGTAACCAACGATGATGGAGATGTAGTCGTGGTGAACCGTAAGGCAGTGTTGTCAGAGATTGCTAGGATTGGTGGCGATATGATTAGAAAGATCGAGAAAGTCGAGTAAAGCTGACACATCGTCCAAGAGGAGAAGACTTTTTGGAGAATATCCATGCATATAGATCGAGATATAGACTCAGGCTTTTATCTTGAGAAGCAATTTTAAAAGTGTAGTTTGTATCAGGCGTCGGGGTTGCTTGACATTTAGAGGTA